GAACTTCGGGGAAGGGAGGGAGGGAGGGGATGGTAGGGGGAAAACAATGGAGGGGCTAACAATGTTCAAGAGGAAGTGTACTCATTACCTCACTCATGTAACTGTAACCCTCTGTATAGTATCTTTACAATAAAAAAAAAAAAGAAATAAGGCAGTGATAGAACTGAAAGCCTCAGCAACTTAAGTCTAGAATTATTAAACACTGAACAACAGATACCAACTCCAAAAAAAAAAAAAAATCACACTGCATTAAGGGAACCATTGTCTCTGTCTCACCTGAGCGTCAGCTGCTACACCTTACGTCCCTGACACTATTAAATGCTGTGTGGCCCGTCAATCTGAGGCAAGATTGTGAATATATTTACTGGTGTCCCTACCCAGTTAAAAACAAATTACTTCTGGATTCTCTGTTTATCGGGCTAGAAATTAAACTTTGCCAAGGGTTGCGGGTTGTTTTTTTTTTTTTTTTACCGGCGGCAACATCTGAGTTTTAGTTATCACTTTTTATTACGTTTACTACTACCAGTTTCCAACAGCTGTTAAACATTATATACCCCATTAAGTTCAAATAGGATAAGAAGACAGGTGTAGCGAAATGCTCTTGCAATCCCTAGCACGAGGGAGGCTGAGGCAGGACAATCACAAGTTCAAGGCTAATCTGGGGTATATAGCAAGACCCTGTCTCAAGAAAACAATCACCCAGTCAATCAAACTAACAGAAATACAATGGGAATCAGTGTCCCTTCATCTTTGAAGCCAGTACTGGTAGCATTCATCACTGCAAGTACTCTAATTTTGTGCTTACAAAGGGTTCACTCCAGAGGTAGCTACTCAATTCTTACTCTGATATTGTCTTCTACTCACTGCATTTGAGAACCAATAATCAGAAGACTGTGATTCTTGAAGAGTGTATTTGTTCCAACTACACTCTTTGAAAATGGGAAAATAGCCACAGAATGAATTGAAAATTCCACCAGATCTACCCTAAAGTAAGTATAGTTCAAATTCTCTTTTCTCAAATAGCCATCAAAGGCCTCATCCAAATTAAGGGGGCATAAAGATATTATCTCTCAGCGGGTGGGGGCGTAGTTCAGTGGTAGAGCCAGTGCTTAGCACGCAAAAGGCCCTGGGTTCAATCCCTGATGTAGGGGAGGAAGGGAGAAAGGAGGAAAATACGGTATTTCCCTTTCCTAAGTGCACATTTACACTAGCAAATAGCATATAGTCATTTCATCGTGTGTGTGTGTGTGTGTGTGTGTGTGTGTGTGTGTGTGTGCATTTTAAATTCTGGTCACATTGCAAAAAGACACACTTTCAGGTCTCTGAAAGCCAGGACTAGAGATGTGGCTTTAGTGCCTTACTACAAACTATGCAACCCTGAGTTCAAGCCTCAGTATTGAACAAAAAAGGTTTGTTTTTTTATTGATGGCTGCAAGTGCTTCTTCATACCTGTAACCATAGCTACTCAGGAGGCTGAGAGCCAGACTGTTACAATTCAAGGTCATCTCAGGCAGAGATGACCTTGATTTCTACTAGACTCCATCTCCAAAATAGAGCCTACAGTAAAAGCAGGTAGAAGAAATCCAAGGTCTGAGTTCAAACCTCAGTACTACCAGAGAGAAAAGGAAAGGAAAGGTAAGGAAAGAAGGAAAGAAGGAAGGAAGGAAGGATGGAAGGGAGGGAGGGAGGGAGGGAGGGAGGGAAAGAAAGAAAAAAGGAGAGAAAGAAGGAAACAAAGCAGAAAAAGAAAGATTGAGGGAGTGAGAGAAAGGCAGGCAGGCAGGCAGGCAGGAAGGAAGGAAGGAAGGAAGGAAGG